CTATCCACTCTAGAAAGAAAAATAATCAGTTCTATTAGCTGAACTTTATTTTATTTTTTTTAACAAACAAACCCAAAACAAAAACTCGTGGTCATGAAAATGATATCATGTGAAATAACTTTCTTCCTCACAGAGAAATCCCTAACCTCTGTCTCATGTTCTTGGGTAATTAAGCGAAGAGCTCTCAAAGCCAAGTCCATTGTGACAAAGATCATGAGCTTCTCACTGGTGTGAGACTTGGATCCAAATGAAATGTTTCTGTGGGCAAACAGTTGGACAGTAATTCAACAGAAGGTATAAGAAAAAATGTAACAAATTCCTAGTTGCTTTTTACCCCGCACTCTTGACCCTCTTAATGAGGGAATACACATTTATAGCCACTGGTTCTTGTGTTTCCCTTAAAAACAGAGTTAACAAGACAATATGAACATATCTGATTCGACAGCTGCCATCAGATCCATACTTCAGGTTAATGAAAAACAAGTGCTCTCAAAGACTAAAGAAAAGAAAACTGCCTAAGATCTATCTCACCAATGAGAGTTACAGGATAATTCTTAAACTCAGGCAGTGAAAGGTTTTGACAGTAGAAGAAAGAAACCCTGAAACAGCTTGCATATCATATTTATTACTGTTCACAGAAAAGTTTGGAATTTTCTTATCAAAGTTATTCCTGAGCTCCAGGTAACGAATGGCACAAGAGCTGCAACCTTTGTTCAGGACTTACGATCTTCTACACAACCCATTCAATATTTGATCCACTTCCCATTTTGAAACTGCAGCTTTTAAAGCTACGGGTTGCCCTCGATTATGGGGGAAGACAACAAGGAAGAGGAACAAGTAGATCTGAAGTTTCCTAGGGGGCAAGGAAGAGACAGGTTACGCATGTTTGTTATTTGTTAATTGCCACGCCACCTGACTCCACCAGCAGTCCGAAACGGCACGCTTCAAAATCAGCTAACTGCCTGAACCGCCTGGTGTAGGGCAAACTCTGCTGCTTTGTCACTAATAAAAAGCACATGACAAGGTCAGGGGATGCCCATGTACACCGGAAAAGGCTTTTGCCTTATCTTAAATTAAGCAGTTCAAAATATTGATATCCTGTCTTAAAGAACAATCTGCTCTCTAGTAAGACTGTACACCTGCAGCTGCGAGACAAATGTTTTTGCGGTCACCCTTCTGCTTTTCGATGAACCAGTGATGACTGTCAATGCCAGGATCAGAAAGTGATGTGCTAATTCAAAAGCATGCTTAAGTCCTGTACACACATATTAACACATAGATATGATATCCCCTAATATTTCTGAGTTAACAAATGTTTGTTAAAAGAAAATGCACTGAGCAACTGAAGCCTAATTTGAAAAGGAAATACAATATTCCCATAAATGTATGCATGAAAGCCAAGAAGCTGCATAATAGGCATAGAAAACATAAAAATATGCAATTTACATATATTACACACTAATAATCTCTGTTCTGACATTATATTTAAAGAGCTCTGGCTGAGATGACGTGCTTGCAGTTGGGTTGCTTTTTTATGAAATAAGAACAAGGACACTCCTGGCTACCAGCTCCCTGAGACATTAGTCTCTGTCTTATTCCTGCAGAAGTCAACCCTTTGCAGGTCTGTAAGACAGAGGTTCTCTCACCACAGCCAGGTAGTAACAAGTAAACCAGATGAACAAGGAGAATAATCAGTCATCTGGAAGAAATCTGCAGATCTTGTTTTGATGTTAAAAAGTGGTAAATATTAACAAGGTGGGACTCTTTCTGTTCTCTTACTCTTTTAAACAAGAACAACAACATTTTATTACCCAGTCTGCAAGACAGGTATGTTGTGGAGCACTCTGCTTCCTAAAACTGGCCAATACATACAGTTTTCTCTAACTTCCAAATTCAAGGCTAACATAATAAAAATAAAATTACAGTACCCTAGCCATCTCTGTGTGCCCTCTGCCTTCACCCAGTGCTTGCCTTGAACAACATATTTGTCTATCATATTCAAGAACAAAGTTAGAAAGGAAACATACTGCATGGAAAATAAAGCTTCCCTGGGGGATCTGTGTGTCAGACCCTCATTTAGAATAAATGGAAGTCAAAGGGAAAAAGAAGGTTTAAATCTGGTAAGAATATGAACCCGTGAATCTTAATATTGGATTTTGTTCTACACATTCTAAGAGGGGTTTTTTTAAATCACAAAAGATTATTTGGGCTTCAAAGTCTCCCCTCCCCCTAAAGTCACCATAAATTCAGCTTTACACACAGAATGTCCAGAGTGCTTGCCTGCGAGAGAGACATGGATGGGCGGAAACATTATGTTAATTGCTCACACACCCAGATTTATTGTGGTCAAAAATCCACTGGCTAGTAAAAAGACCCTCTTTCTCATCTAAATTCCACGCACACAGGCAGGGCACTGCAACATGCCCACTCAGCGGAAAACTCCTGTTTCTTTTTCTTCATGAAATCCCCAGTGCAAAACACTCTTTTGACTTTGCGACTGCCGCTACCTCAGCTGCTCGGTCAGCACCTGGGTGCCTGCAGGAAGAGCCCCAAGGACGTTATGCCAGGGGGATGTCCTGTGACACACCCCACAACTAAGGGGTATTTCACACACCGTAACATTGCAACATAGCCTGAGGGTCTTTCAGGCATAAAGGCATTCTCTGTTTTGCTACAGTCCCACAATTTGTTGCACACATAATTTACGTACCTGAGGCTACATCACTCCCTTATATCTAAACACAATGTCTAGGTATGTCACTTTATTCATACATACAGTTTATATATAGATATATACGTGTGTGTGTGTGTGTGTGTGTGTGTATATATATATATATAAAAATATCATTGTTTAGGCCCCAAAACTGTTTTAGAAGAGCTCTTGATGACACTGCATGAATTTAGGGCTGGGTTTTTTGTTTGTTTGATGGAAAGATCTTGAACAGCCAGTGAAGGTAATCATTCAGTTCTGAAAAGCTGTTCAAAATCTAAATGGATATAAACAATCTCCTGTATGCATTCAGTGATGAACCCACGATGGCAACTTTCAAGTGATCAGCCTCCTCCTAGTTCTATTGGTAGAGACGCAGGATGGGGCCAGGAGCTCTAAGCACTGGGGTAGAAAAAGGTTTCAAAAGTCTAAAGAAAAAAAAAACCAAAACAACAGAAGTATCTTAGCGTAAAGACAGGGCTGGGTGTAAAGAAGCACATTAACAGATTAAAGTCATCTAATCTGCTTCAGGATCTCCTTTTGATTATATCAAACCTCAAATCAGCAAGACTTTGTGGTGAGGAAACCTGGCCTCACTTTTTTCTCCCACTTTGCCCAGACATCACAAGATTTCTTTACTGTTGCACTCTACTTCAGTGTCACAGACAATATAAGCTTTGTGAAAGGAAAAAAAAAAGGAAAAAAAATCCAACACAATTTCCATAGCCAGAACCAACATACATTTAAACTGACACTAACAACTACTTTTGATGGATTAACACTGAATCTCCAAAAGATACTTATGACAAAAATATGGAAGCCTTGCACACTACAAAACTGGCCATTAAAAATATTTTTTAAAAATGAAACAACAAATAAAATGTCATGGCTTTTGTTGGAGACTGAGTTTAGAAATCAGAATTCTTTAGAACAAAATCCATTCAAGTCTTCTTGGAAGTATATCCGCTTGTTTTTCTGTTGGTATTTTTTTCCTGAGGTTTCAAGCCATAAAGTTTTGTACCCCACTCTATGCTATAGGAATCTGTGAAACTTAATTACATTTACCGTTACAAAAAAGGGTTTATGAACTTTTGCCTTTGGGCAAAAATGTTTATTTCATTGCCTTTGTTATTCATTCTTTTCAACTCCAGTGCCTTTGAACTTTTCAGCTGCACAGAGTTATCACCGTTGCACAGGAACCAGGAACTGTACTCCCGAGATGCAAACCACAAGTTGAAGAAAACGAAGGAGGCAAAGATATACGAGTCGTTATTTTGGCCACCCTTTGTGCCATTAAAATCTCATTTTCTGCCTATTAGAATGCCCTCTCCCTGCTTAGGCAGTGGTGATAGTCAGTGATTAGTGTGTAATTGAGTATAATTGTCTTTTCACTTTTCATTTGTGTCATTCTGAGCTTCTCTCTGTTTTTCTAACCACTGAGAGGAAAAAAAGGGTAGAAAGCAGATAAAGCTGTTAAAACTCTCACTTTCAGCCCTGAAGAGATTCCTGATCGTAATTATAGATTGCATCCTCTTTGTGACTTCTCAGAATTTAGTGGACATCTTTTTCCAAGCACCTGGGCAAAGCTCTCACTAATAAAATAAACTACCATCTATTCAAGCTTTAACTAATAACGTCAGCTTCAGACAGATGCTGCGTGCAGGAAAATTTAACCAACCTTTTGACACTCAATTATCAAGGCAATTTATTAACATGATTTCCTAAAAAGAGCTCACGCAAATTAGAAAAACAATTATGGTATTCCTGCATTTATATATTGCCAAAGAGCAGTTATACTCCTAATTTATGCATTTATAACTCGATTATAGCTCATCTCAATGCACACTGCTCAGCCCTTGGAACTCTCCTCATACAGCTTGCCTGTAATTTTTCTGGATTGTTCAGTAAAACCTTGGTGAGATTATCTTGAAGAGATATCTTATTTTCAGAAAAACTACACGATCTACTTTCTGTACCTAGCTATGGATCTTCATGAGAATAGCAGTACATTACAAACGCTTGACAACTGAATGTAAACATGAAGCCTGCATGATTACATTATAAATAACTTGAAATTAAATATAAGCTATGACTCTTGATTCAGCCAGTAGGAGGAAAAAAATTTAAAAAAAAAAAAAAAAAAAAGGAAACTAGCAAACTGAAATCATGTGGCTTGTATAAAGAATACATTATGGTTTAAATTTGGCAATTCATTATACTGTGGCCTGAGGGAATAGACTCTTTGGTTCTGGTATACAGCAAATCCTCTGTCTGAAAACACAGGACTGACCTGAGGTGAAAGGCCATTGCCAATGGCAGGGTTCATGGGATTTGAGGGCCCGGATGGAGGCACAAAGCTGTCTGTATAGCTGGAAAATCCATGCCTGGTGCTGGGTAGGCAATAGGCAGAGCTGCTCTCTGGATTCGAAGGGAGGCTGCTTTGGTGTACAGTGCTTGGAGGGAGAGGCTGAGGTCTATGGACAGTACTGCTTGGATCAGACACAGCTAGAAGCAAAAGAAACATGTTGATATGTTTTCCTCCTTTTTTCTGACGTAATAAATTCATTACATGAAGCTCAACTTGACAGAATTGCATCAGGATCTGCATCTAAATACTAGTTAAGTAGAAAGGTAAATATTTAATATTGCCAGATATTTAACTGGCCTGTAAGATTACACAAAAATTCTTAAATAGACTGTAAAAGTCATAACAGACACATGCAGTTTTCAGACAATCCTTAGCAGGCACATATCATTCAGAATTGATACAGCAATATATTTTATATATGTATATATGCACATAAAAAAGAAGGGGAAAGCTTTATTTGCTTAGAAGACTGGTAAAAGGCTTTCCCATCCTGGTCACAGTGCAAAAATTCTGCCATGGTTTGTAGTGAACATGGCAATAGATGGGAGAAGCCTTGGGCTTTGAAAAATTCCCTTAATTAGAACAACCACCAACAGTTAGGATCCAAATCTCAAGGAGGGAGCAAGAAAAATACAGTAACTTGTTTTATAAAATCTGACATGCAAGATTTTTCTTTAGATCTAGCACAGCATAGATTTGAGGCTCTATTCCTGCCCCCCAATCCATCAAAAGTTCACCGAATTGCTGATAACATTAATACAAATTTTTACCATACTGAGACTTGCTACTGAGCTGAAATAAGACAGTCTGAATAGCTGTTTTTTCCAACATCAGATAATATTCAGAGTACTTACTTACAGAGGTTTCCAGTGCACCATCATTGAAAGCAACAAAAGACAACAGAATGCAACTGCTGCCTCCTTCCCCACCACGCTGGGCACTCTCAGCGCAGGAGGCCAATGTAAGGGTAGGGTAGGGAAGTGCCTACCTCGCTTTACCAGCGCTGCACCTCTGCCATGCAGGAGGCAGGTATTCCTCTAGCTAGCACCATTTACATGTAACCAGCCCTTTCTTCCAGCAAAACAAACCTGAGTTCTTAATGCTTTAAATAAGCAGGCTTTCAAGGTCCTGCCTGACCTGAAATTAGGCAACACCCCTTCTTCTACATTAGAGAAGAAAATATTTCTACAATTAATCAACACAGGAAATCCCCCAATAACATTATTTTAACCAAGTACCTGTTCGCTACTGTACCTTGCGGTATGGAGGTGGGTTGGTAAGAGGGCTCAGAGAGCTGGTATGTTGGCAAAGTTGGCATGGCACTGGGTGGAAATCCTCCTGGGATCAGATGGTTGAAAGCCATCAGTTGATTGGCTCCTGCCTGTTTCCTCCATCTAGCACGACGGTTACTAAACCAGACCTACAAATGTTTTAATTAGGGACATTTGATTTTTGTACATTTAGTATGTGTGCATGAGAAATAATGGCATTGTGTTTCAAATGCATTCAGTGTCTGAGATGAGAGATACAGAAGATGCGCACTGGGCTCAGAGCTCCTAGACAAGAAAGAAGCCCTTGGCACACTTTTCCATGGTTCAACAGACAGGACACAGGAATCCTAAAAGTTTCCTCTCAAATATAGCCCCTCCCAAAAAATAAGATGACTAGTACTTTCAAGCTTTTGAATACTTTTAATAGTTATCCTTATTGTGCCAGATTTAATGAGAAAGAGAAAACATCTCTTGTCTTTGTATTTAATTTGCTGACAAGTTAGGGGTATCACTTAATGCACTGTTGAAAGGTGCTTGTACTTACATATTGCCCTAGTGATCAACAGAACTTTTAACTTTTAATTTAAAAAATACAGGCCCAGTGTACAAAACACAAATCCCTACCAGCAAGTTTTCATGTATTCACATATGTACAAAACATCTCTTAAAAACGTGACATTAACAGTAGATCAGAATTTCACTATGAGATTAGCATTTCAGAACCACTCTGAACCCTGTTCCCAGGACAGAGTACTAAGAAGGTGGGGTTTAAATTAGCAGGACCCTCTACCTATAAATCTGCTTTCCTTCACATTATTGTCAGTTCATGTTTTAAGTTTTTAAGTCTTGGATGGCTCTTATTGCTTCTAAGAAAGGAAGAGGCTAGACTTCACAAATGCAGACGTAGTAAGAGTTGTAAAACACATAGGTTTATGTGTATATTATAGTGATAACATGCCACAAACTGGAAGGGCAACCAGCCCCAGCAGGGGTGCCTGGACCAATGTGCATGTACACTGCCCTGCTGCAGATTTAGAACAACTTCTAGATTACAGCACTCAGGTCGATGAGGTGGAACATCACAGAAGAGAAAGGTTGGTTGAGATAAGGGAGGCTACACACGTTTGTAAACAAGGAGACAATTACTCAATTGTACACCCTGAGGCAGCTGCAATGATCATCCCTGGATACTATCAATTAGATAAGACTGTAACTGAGTCCCAGCATCTGACAAGGTACACCTGCACAGCCTCTAAGGCAGTCGGGTCTGAGAGCCACTGAGGTACCTTAGCTGATGAGCCACGTGTAGATACATTTGTAAAAGTGAGTTGGGTCTCAGATCTGTCAACCTTCCTGCAAGCAGTCCATGCTGGCTTATGAACCAGCCATCACAGTCTGGATTTCTAGGTGTAGCGTGATTTACAGACCATGAGTAGCCCTTACACGAGAGTGTAACAATGTTTTGGACTACACTGTGGGCTTCCCCTCCACTTGCTATTTCATAGCAGGAGCAGTGGGACTAACTGGGCCATCTGGTTTCTGATGTGGGCCATCTGTCACCACGTAGCTTGATCTGACTTCATCCTTTTCAGAATGAGATGCTTAGTTCACACAGCTGCCTCCTCTTTTGGCCACAAAGTCTACTCCTCAATTACACACTCCCACTCCAGTTTAAGATTCAGGACAGAAGGATAGATGGAGCCTCTGTTCTACCTCAGGAATCCCTCTCTTGTTTTTTTTGCTGTACCCTCTGCCTCCACATGAACCATTTCTAAAAACAGCTGGTAGAGACAAGGTACCAGGGTGGAGATGCAAGACCTGCAATAAGCAATAGTTGAGGATGCGTTTAGATTCAGCAGTATTTTTTTTTTTACTTTCTCATCCCATAGATATCTACATTCTTTTTCACCTCTCTCCTTACCCTTTGCTTCCCTCACTGACATTTAAGTCTAAATTTCTTATTTACTCCTCACAGACTCCTCCTACCTGCTTATGTCTCCCAAAGCCCACCAGTGACACACTCCTGCAGCAGTATCTTTAGAAGACAACCAAGAAGAAGGAAAAAGGGGCAAGACACACTGAAGAGGGAGGAAGAGGCTTTGCTAAAGAACCAAAGAGCACTTAGGAAGGATAATGGGGGTCAGAGACTGAGCAGGGAACAGCAAACACACGCTGTAATTAGCCTACCCAGGTCATTAACTATGGCTTTCTCCATGATACTCTCCCTTCTTCAGGTCAAGAGGGTTATCTGATGATCTCCAAATGCTTTGGGAACACTAACTGGACTATACTACATGAGTGGATTTCACTGAGGAAAACGAGGTAACAAAATTTTGCCTTTAAGCCTTAGATCGTTATTAAAATAAGTATTCAGTAGTAAGTGATCTGCAATAATGCCAATTTTAATGCTTTTGTTTACAGATAGATTTTGGCTCATTTTATAGATTTGCATTTTTCCAGAACCTATACCAGATAGATATTCCCCGAAACATAGATAACATCCCTGAAAGGAACACACTCAATGGTATCAAAAATTCTACAGCAGCCCTGTGATGAATGTACTTGCACAGAGCTCTGTTGCCACATGGAGTCACATTAAATTAAGTGGGACTCTGCAAGGGTGCAGAAACTTGCTTGGGCTATACAGAAACAAGGCTATGTATTACCACCTTGGTCCCACATGACTGAGTCATGCTAAATGGGTGCTACTTGACTGACACCCATGTCACATGCTGCCGGCACAGCCATGGCTCCAGGTCTGTCAGCCACTGCCACTCCACACTGCCTTGCTGCCCCATCAGCTGCAGAACACACCTGCTGCTGTTTGCCCTGGCTTCTTACTTTCCCCAGATGGCAGGAAGGCAGATGGCACCTGACTAGCACCCGAGTTAGTCCAAGATTAACCCACCAAAATCCCTTGAACAAATTCAAAACTGCAGAGCAAGTCTTATTGCCATTAATACCACATGCACTCATGACTACAGAACAGTAGAGGCACATAAAATAAATTAAACCCCAACAAAAATCAACACAGTAAGCACCAGGGGTCAGATCCATATATGTCCTTGTTTCCCCTTGATTTTAATGGGCTTTGGACCTGCATTAGTAAAAATATTAAGAAGAATTTATCATTAAAATGACCATAAGTATGGCCTCAACTAACATGTTTTTACAAACGAACAAACCAAAGCTCTGAATCTGTAATTCTGGATGTTTCAACACATTAGCTTTTACTATTGTTACTATTTAGTATCATGGTCTTGCCATTTTCACATGGTGGCCTGTATTTAAAACACGATGCATACGACCTAGGACCATGAAGGCTTGAGATTTGGCTTGCAACTGTGTTGAACTCCCATTTTATAGCAGGTAACTGCAGATTTCAGGTATTGTGATGGAACACAAAGAAGAAATTATGTAACAGTAAGTCAGGGGAAAAAAATAAATATGAATAAAATGAAAGGGCAGAGTTAAAAAGGTAATCAGTTTTGGAAAATGAAAAAAACCTATTCAAAATGAAACATTTTATTGACATTTTATGTAATGTTTGTTAAAGGGAGTCAGATCCTAAACTTTATTCAGTAGTGGTTATATGCTTTCTATGTTAACTGAAATGATTTTTTAAAAATCATGGTATTTCACTTAGACTATGTTCAGCTGCCTTCACTTACTCTCAACAGCTCAGGATTTTTTTAAAATTTTTTTAATTTTTAAAATCAGCACATATCATGAAGAATCCATGTGCACTATTACTACTAATTAAAGAAATCTTGAAAAAGTTTGCCAACATCAAGCTAAGACTTAAAAATAAATCTAGTCACCACAAACCAATGTATCTGCTTAGAAACATATTGTAAACACCTGGGGAAATATTTTCTTTTGTTTGTACATTTCCAACATGATTTAAACACAATATCCTCTCATGATCAGAAAATTTCAACTTCCACCAACATGACAAAACCCTCAGCATGACAAAATCCTCATCTTATGAGTGGCCTTTTTGAATCTAGCAGGTCCCCATAGGATGCTTCTGTTCTCCTACACCCTCCCTCCCTTCTGAGAGGGAAGAGATCACCACCTAGATGCAGAGATGCTCCAAGTAAAATGCAGCCCCTGGTGAAGATCACAAGTGACATACTGTGCAAAAGTGCCGGCCTGGAGTGGGCACAACAGAAAACCAACTCTAAACTATCTACGTCTACTTAATCTGACAAACTAATGTATGGTGTGTTGCCTTCCCCAGCAACAGCATGGATCTCAGTGGAAGGCAGACCAACCCTAGACAGTACTTCAAATGACCACTGTCACACTGAATTACCCCATGGAAGCAAAAGCAGTGGCTAAGCAAGCTACTGCATTTTGAAGACTCAAAATACAGCGTTCTTACACAAACACTACTCTGTGTGTTCTTCAGGAATATGCTCTGCTTGTGTAGGTAAAACATGCAGGAGCTCTAAACTAGGTCAGCATCATGCTAGGTGCTGTGCAAATGCAGACACGGACAGAGGAAACGTGGTTTGATGACAGACCCAAGCATCCAAAAGAAATGTCTGCACCAGAAGCCAACTCACATTCATTTTAGTGATGCTCTGGCTCCCCAGTTTCTATGTCACTTTCGAAGATGGAATGTAAATTACCCAGATGATATGGAAACAAAATTGAAACCCAGAGTCTGGCCAAAATTTACATCTCAAAAACAGAAGAGGATGAGATTTAGAGCAAAGGGGGGAAAAAAAAAAAAAAAAAAAAAAAAAAAAAAATTTTTCAATCATCTGGAACTGGACTGATCAAAAAAGAAATGACTCCATGACAGAATATTAAAAAAAGGATTTTGACTGATGTAGAATGGATGAGGTGAACTAATAGGCTTCTCCCATCTCTATTTTCTCATATGTAGATCCTGCCTTTTATTATCATTTTTTCTTTAAGTAGTTTGCAAGTGATCATGCCAACATCTTATTTTGTTGATCTCAACAGGATATTCTTTAAAAGATGCATTTATTCACTTGGGAACACACTAGTGTAATTAGCCTTGACATTTCAACAGTCTGATCATAAACACAGAGTGTTCTATGTGCTTTTAAGGAAAAAAGATCTCTGATCCTACAGGGCAAAACATTTGAGATGTGAATTTTGCAGAAAACCCGTG